TATGCAAAGATAGATAGAGTCCTCATGATGACACATTTTAAACGCGTTTTTTTTTTCATCGTTGCGAGCAAGAAAATATTTCAATTGCTTGTTAAATGTCTGCTTTTCTTGGTGTCGTTCTGTTAACACGATTGGCAAATACGGAATCGAGATGCGAATTGATTGGGATAAAAGGGCGAATTAAAAGCGAACACCAGTAGAAAAATGTAAATACTTATTGCGTGAATTGAGCAAATATAAGCGGAATATTGTGCAAAAGAGTGCGATCGAGAATGGTGTTTGGAAAAATTCAACAAATCGATAATGATAAGAAGAGCGCACTGAAGCGTAATAAATTTTCTGAAAAGAACAGGGACTGCGAATGAAATGTACCGAATTGGCGCTGGCGCGCAAACAACACGTCGCGATGGAGAAACATATACCAGTAGAATAAAGAAAGAAAAAATTCGGTACGAATTTCATGCGGTTAGCAAATAAATTAGTTGGATGTGAGATTTCATTGTGTGGCGCATTGCATTTCGGTAGCCATTGGAATCTCGACAGCTGTTGCGAACTATGCGAAATGAATGACTTCAATTGCTGGCGAATGGAATTGCTATGCCTTTTTCGACACACACACACACACACACATATGCTGCTGAATCGACAATTTGTATACCGATGGCGTGATTCAATGGTGTTATTGCTGATTACATCTTTGATTGATTTTATTACCCAAATGGACTCGATAAACTCTCAATAAAGCCATTTACAATAACGATCTAAATGTTCGCATTCGTTATCCTCGCACCAATGCGAAGAGAAAAAGCAAAAAAAAACCACGATTTTTTTTCTCGACTGCGAATAACCAAAATGAATCGATTACATGAGAATAGCATTGGAAATGAATTTAGATTCATCCCGATTTGCATCATAAACGGCATGCACTGATGAATATTACTGAAGTGTTGTAATGGATTGAACTGAACGAATAGTGTTCTGGTTTTTTTCTTCGTTGCAAACATGCGGTGAATTTTATTTCACTCCCAAGAATGGCAGCTGAATGGAACAGCGCATGAAAATCAATGGCGAAACTAATAAGCTGTGAATGCAGTCGGGAGTCTCGACTTGAGTCCTTGGAATGTGTGAGAGCGGGTCAATGAATTATTAGCTGATATCATCACAATCAAGACATAACTAATCCATTACATTTTTATAATAAACCTTAACATCGGTGCGATGGCTTCGAATTCCGAAAAAAAGCTCCAAGTAAACGCAAAAGATCAGACTGGAAACGAAAAGAATTCGAAATGATGAGAATACTGGCGAATTTTGCGCATTGACATTGATAAGAGATTTTGTCTGACAATCTAATAATAGCCCGCATTCCGAATGTTTTCACTGCGTACAATATGCCTCAATCATGTGAACACAGAATTGGACAAGTAATCTGGGTTTCATTCCTTTTTTTTCGGTCTATATTGGAACACACACGCACGCAACAACGGCAGCCAACAAACCGAACGTTGAAAATCTCTGGTGTATTGCAATGATAGCACAGAAATATTGGGCCGCTCCAACCACTACTGGATCACATATATGTGAAACAGAAAATCGTAGCGATTTAACAAACATGGGAATTGCCATTGTGCAAATAGATGCGACAATATCGTCTGGAGTGCTTTTTTCATGTTTACACACCAACTCAATTTACTTGCCATTGTCTATTGCTCATGCGATGTTGATGAGAGCGAAAATATTCATATTATCCTTTTTTGGGTCGTATTTTTTTCTATTGGCTCGTGTACCGATGCGATGCCGGTGGAAAGTAGAGAGAGAAAAATAACTACGTGGTATTTTATTATTCACCGATCCGAGAGAGAGAGAGAGAGAGAGAGAGAGAGAGGTGAAGAAATATTAATAAGTGCATTAAGTGAGCACAGCATGCCATACACAATTATCAAGCAGAATATTTTAATCCACTTTCCAATATATGGTAGTTGATGGAAATTTAAATTAGTTTGCATGAAATCGGATGAAACAAGGACTTGGCCATGGTGCCTTTCAATGCAAATAGCTTGGGTATATGTTTTAAAGTGAAAAGTTTGCGAGTGTAATCAAAATCGTATTGCGCGAAAATGTTCGCAAGCAAACAAGACGCATAGCAATAATCACATCAGTTTCCATCAATTTTTGCCATCATTATGAAGCATTAAAGTTAAATATAAAGCCTATAAATGAATATATATGCTAATATTGTCATATTTAATGAACTTAAGAGTTCGAGTTTGATAAACCGATGCTGAAAATTCAAACATCTTTACTGTGATGCGCGCTATACCGAGAAAAAATGCTGAGCAATTGATGAAAAGTTGTTGCTAGCGAAAATTAAGCAGGATCAAAGCTCAAAGCATATTCTTTTGAAAAATGCGTCAAGGTGAAAACTTATTCGACGGCGGAGAATGAAAATTTGTCAGCTATTCACCACCATCGTTAATAATAAATTCGCATGAATTTCAATCAAAGCTTTCACATTTTTTATAGTGCAATCGTCCATACAACCGCACTGAGATAGACGGAGATTTATGTTAAGGAGGAGTATGGTGTGAACGTCAGGATTTTAAGTATTTATTTTACATTTCCAGCCGGAGGTAATCATCATGTAAATTAAATGCGTCTGTAACATTTGAAGGCAAACCACATTGGCATTCGAGTTATCAATTCATTTTCGAGCGGTTTGCTTACACGACAAGCATTATTACATCGAATTCGATTCACACATATGCTATTAAGATGTTATGCACAACCGACGATGAGGTTTGCTTTTGCGACATGGTTATTACATTCCCAATGTAAATACATGTGTATGTTTTGTTTGTTGCGAAAGTGAGAATTTCAATTGCGAGTCATAGAACGGGACCAAACTGCCTGACAATAATGAGAGAATATGCCTTGAAAATGTCATACACGGTGTGTTTCTGACAAATGCAAGATGACATGCAGGAAACAGCGATTGTTCTACTTGTAAACGTCAAAACTAGTAAGTCTAATCTTCACCGCAATCAGTATGCGATATTGCTCTTATGAGCGTAGGATGATTTATGGGTGTGTGTTGACGGAGGAGGACCGGATGCGGGTGACACGATGAAAAATTCAGCCGAAAACATTTTGATAGCGTCATGATTGTCGGATCAACAGTAAAGTGCACTTGAGCATCGGCAATGCGGGAAGTTTAACAAAGGAATAACATCGTTGTAATTACGGCAATAGAATGTATAAAATGTTGTACATGCTCATCCCTAGTTGTCTTGGATACTTCGTAAATCCCATTCACTTCGGAAACGGTTTTGATTTCATCGATGAATTCAACTTAAAATAGTTGAAATTTTGTGCTCAGTTCCATGGCGATAAGAATTATTTCAATTCTTTCATTTAACTTTCATACCATTTCCTAAGAATTCCTTGAAATGTTTATCTATTGTTTGCAACACTGTAACAAACACGATACCCTCTGGAGTCTCTTCACGTCCAAAAATAGATTTGTGTTTAATTATCATTACTTCCATAAAATTCTAAAGGTGATTTCGAAATTGTTTTTCGTCGAACAACGAAAAGCATTGCGATTCTATCTTGTCCATGTTCACCTATACAAAATCCGCACTCCACTTAAATCAGGGTGGCTTTTTTCTTTTTTAGATGCGGCATGTTTACTCACCAATTAATTTTATTTACAATTGAAATTAGCGCAAAACAGCGGCAACAGCCAAGAATGCCATGGAGCTCGGGCTCGAAATAGAGAGAATTTTGAAATTTGCACGTCGCTCGTAAATAATGACATACGTTGGATTCCATGAAAATAAACAATCTCTGCACCAATTTCGGATTTTAAGAGATATGCAATGTGTCGCTTTTGTCTTTGCTTTTGTATCTTGTGGCACGGCCACCATTATTTTGTTATCATTTTGCGCTTAATTTTATTCCAAAGTAGAAAATGAAGTACAAGTGATACACAACATTTCTCGAAGATTGCTGTATAATTATGTGCGCACATCAACGTGAATGATTGCGAATTTTTAATTTCCCTATGCATTAATATTTGAATATTTACTTTATTCTGATTTGCCTGGATGTTTTCATTTTTTGCCTGCCATGTTGTTTATTGAGATTCTGTAAATTTGGTAGAAAATTTAATGATAACGACTCTGGTACACCTCAGCAGGTATACACACACGCACACACACGCACACACACACACACACGCGCGCACTTAACGTAATTAATGAAAGCATTTATCTTCATCTCATCGGCAAATTTATGTATACTCGCCTAAATACGCACATATTAAACAGGCTGCTTGCGCTGGCAGGCAAGCAGGCGAACAAAAATTGCATCCATTATCGGAAATCTGTGCGCGTATAGGAGATACCCTTAGGTGGGAGTACGTAATGCGAAACGTATCAGCGCATTGTGGATAGAGCGTGATGTGGTTTCGTATTTTGCAGTTCATATTCATTAGATGCCTGATTGAAATGATGAACTAATTTGAATTTGTGTGTTTTGTTTTGATAAAACTCTCATATACTGAGGTGATGCTCATACTCGACGACAGATAACATTTTGGCCCAATATCAAGCATGGAAATACTTTTTGTTAGAAGGATAGAATTTATTATGATCTAATTTCGGAGTAAATTCAAGGAATCACAATGGGATCCTACACAAGCTGTTATCACACCGTTCCCATTAAACGTTCTCCTAATGACCACTAAAGCAGTAACGAACCAACATACGCTCATTAATTAGTCGCTATAACTATGGAAGAGATTACTTTGTGATACAAAATTCATATTATTAAATTTATAAACCTTTCAAGTGGCTTTCTCACTCCCTTGAACATTTAGTTTAATGTTTGATTTCAATGCAAACAATATTAAACACCCACCAAAGTTTCACAACGATTCACCTGGCAACTAAGACGATCTATTATAAATCAAACCATATTTTTCTCTCTTTCTCTTCCAGCTTTAGAGTCGAATCAACTATTGGGATTGCATCTAAAACGAGAGCGCTACGGTCATCGAATGTACAAAGATAACGGCAAAATAAATGTGGAGCTTTTGGCTGAAGTCGGAGACATTGCACATCGTTTACGGTCTCTAGATAAACGTTTAGCCTTGAATTTGAACGATCCACGGCTCCAACACGAATTGCAACAAAGTCAAACGACAACAGCTGATTCCTCCGACGAACCAACACCAGACCACCAATGTTCGTCATCAGAGAGAAGACCGAGTTTGGCAGCACAAATTGCCCAAGATATCGGTGATCGAATTAGCGGCGGTAATAGCGCTGGCGCACCCGATTCAGAAGCTTTGCAGCAAAGACGCTACAGTAGCAAACAAGTTGAAGATATTATCTTAGAATTTTACGAGAAACACTTGATTTATCATCAAAACTTAGAGAAGGAACGGTTAGTGGCCACGTCAACAACGGACACCGAAACCGAACCGAGACGATCACGAATCTTTCGATTAACCAGCGGCGATACGAATAATATGAGCAACTTGCCGTCATCGATAGCATCCACCAAATGTTCAACGAGTAAAAGTGGCGAAAATGCCGACAGCCATGTGAACGAAGATAGTAGTTTAACCGAACAAACAACCAGTAAACTCAACGAATTGACTGCTGAACCAAGTAAACCAGAGACAACCACGGGCAGTGGGAAACGAAATTCGATTGCGAACCAGCCAATGCCTGAAATTCAAATCAGTAACAGTGATGAACCACCGAAGCCACGTAAATCACTTACTGAACTGTTCGAACCAAAGGAGCCGACTATTGCCGATTCAACAAGCAACGAAAAATCGGACACTTACGAAACTTCAGCTACAATAACCATAACTACGACGACGACAGCAACAACAACAACAACAACATCATCATCAACATCACCAATAACTGGAGGAGTTTGCGGTCACTATTGCGCTGGTTGGCAAACATCAATTTGGCATAATCAATTGGATGACGACGTCTTACGAACACTTGTTATGGAATTGAAACACAAAATCGAATTCACCGAAAGAATGAATTGGCTTTGTAAGTACCACCACCGAAAATATACCATCTAATTCCTATATATATTTTGTATTTTGTCCCATTCCGTATTTTTGTCCCCGTTCCGTTTGCATTTGATTTTTGCCTGGTGTTGAAAAGTTGGTTGATTATCTCCCATACCAATGAAGAAGAAGAAGAAGAAGAAACCAATCGACTTTTGCAACTGTTCACTCGATTTAATGGCAAATGCTACACAAATTTCGATTCTCTTTTCTCTTCTCTTTTTTTCCATTCACATGAAAAAAACATTTGCCCGATGTGATGACTGACATTTGTTAAAAAAATCAAGTAAATTTTCCAGATTTATCGAAACGACCGGCGGGACCGCCACATCGTAAAACCAGTTTGCCAAAGCATACCGAGGTTAAGAAACGTTTTATGGAAATATGCGATCGAACGTTTTCGGACGAAATCAAGGCTGCGCTTCGATTGCCATCATTTGATTCGTACGAATGGGAAGACGAGGATGTACTCTTTCTAATGCAAACCATGTTCATCGATACTGGTCTGGTGGAAAAGTTCAACATACCGTTGCCAACGCTACGCGAATGGCTTTACGAAGTGTACAAACATTATAATGCTGTACCATTTCACAATTTTCGGCATTGCTTCTGTGTCGCACAAATGGTAAGTGGCAACAAACAATTTTTTTTTGGCTTTTTCATCATGCACAAATTGCACATTATATTTCATGTGTTTTTTCTCGTCATCCACAATTTTCTACCGATTTTATTATTTGTGATGGTATTTATCTTTTTTTTTTACGGTTTTTGTTGTTTTTGGCACATCACACACATACATTCAATTCATATTTATATGAAACAAACAAACGTACAGTGTGCTTTTTATCGGAAAACGTGTCAATCAAAGCCGCATTTATTTTGTTGGTTTCCACAGGTTTAAATATTAAATTTTATTTATTTATTTTTCTCTCATCGATAATGTCTTCTTTTCCCTGGTCTTTTCCATTTTTCTCATTGATCTGACTGTCATCGCGGATCGACATCGCCTCTCTCAGATGTATGCAATCACATGCCGAACAAATCTGTCAGCACGGCTTGGCGATTTGGAAGTGTTGATATTATTAGTATCGTGCATTTGCCATGACTTAGATCATCCAGGTTATAATAATATTTATCAAATAAATGCGAGAACGGAATTAGCACTAAGGTAAAATCGGCGAAAATTTAATGATACCATTTTCAACACTTCAATTCACACCACATATAGTTCAGCGTATTTACTTTTCTTTGGTCATTTTATGATTTCCAGATATAATGACATATCACCGTTAGAAAATCATCATTGCTCAATTGCATTTAGATTATTGGAACATCCGGACTGTAATATATTTAAGAATTTTAGTAAAGAAACGTTCAAGTAAGTGTATCAATCGTGCGACCTGATTTTTTGTTCGAAAATCTATTTCGGAATTTATGCATTTATTACTTGTTTTTCTCTCATTTTTTCTTTTAAGTCAAATACGTGAGGGAATCATAAGATGTATTTTAGCCACTGATATGGCTCGACACAATGAAATCCTTACACAATTTCAAGAAATTACTCCTACTTTTGATTACTCCAATGAAGCACACATAAATTTAGTGAGTCCCTTAACGAACAGTGTTTATAACACTGTAGTAACATTTTACACTTTTGAAATGTACGGTTCAACACATGAAAGTCAGATTTTAGTTGCCGGCGAG